TTTAGATGTTATTAATAGACCTCTGATGCATGTTCTCACAGCCTGAAAAAAACAATAACTATGGATTAATTTACATTTTTCTTGGGGTACATTTATTGGCATCCATAATAACATCCATATATATCATTTGTCTAAATACTAATTCAGAAAGGAGCGATTTTCAGCCAACGTTAGCTTCTGTAATCCAAGAAACGGATCACCTAGCTGCTAGCTGCTAACTGCTAGCATCCATCTATTGTTTATTTCTGCCAAAAGAAGAAAATATGGCGCCGTTACCTCTTCAGTATGATAGATGCAAAGGATAGAATAAAGAAAATTACTCTTTTTACTGCATCGTCATGAACACAAGACAAAAACAAACAGTATTTAAGGCAGTTATCACATGACACGCTCCCACGTGACCTCCCAGGCTGATCAGTTCTTAAAGAAACAGTGACACACACACACACACATACACACACACACACACTCACACACACACACGCACGCAAAAACATGAACACATAGCCGGTTCTAGACATGGGTCAACGGGGGCCAGTGCCCCTGTAGATCATGCCCTGGCCCTTGTCATGGCCCCTGTCCTAAAGACATAACACTCAAAGAAATTCTAATGATGATATGCGCTGGAACAGACATGGTAACTGATAGGTCAATAGTTTCAGTGGTATTTCATCAGCTAAAAAAAAAACTTTTTACAGCTGAATTTATCAGTTTTTTTTTGTTCTAATTCAGATTTTATAGAAAATGGTAATTTTATCTTAAAGTCACTTAAACTTAAACGTAAGTAAAAATTATTTGAAATTCCTAAATTATGAATGTATATATTGACCTAATGAGATATAGAATAGAAATTTCCCTTCATGCAACTATATTAATATATTTGAATCCTTTGCCATGTTTTTTATGAAAACACCCTGGCCCCCTAGTGCATTTGGTCAAGAACCGCCACTGCGTACAACCATACACACACGTACACACACACAGCCCCGACCACACACCTACTCATTCTGCCATTGACTTCCAATGATTGTCAGTCATTTTCAACCCTTTCTATGCCCTAACCCTAAAACTAACCATAACCCTTACCATTACCAATGCATACCTCTTCCTAACCATAACCAATTCACACTTTAGTCCTAAACCTAACCATTATATATATATATATATATATATATATATATATATATATATATATATATATATATATATATATATATATATATATATATATATATATATATATATATATATATATATATATATATATAGTAGTATATATCTTATACTACTAGGGACCACTTGTAACAGAAACATGAGTTTCCTGCTCACTGAATTTGTAATAACTGGCACTAAGGGAATGCACATGCAATCTTTGTAATAATAAGGGTTTGTTGCATATTTGTAACGTTGGCTGTCAAATGGATAAAATCACCACTTTCACATTTTAATAAAATGAAACACCATTGGTTTTCATATATGAAATTTATAAAGCCCAGGTATAACAGAGAGGAGGGTTAGTGTGAGGGTACTTCAGAGATCAATTAAGCAAGAAGCCCAGTTGAGTTCAATGGCAAACCTGTATTCTATGACTACATCTCCGCTACATTTCCATCACCAGTAGCTGTTCATATTCAATAAGCATCTAATTACCAGATAAAAAAGCATACGGTGAGCAAATTAAAATATATCAGTCACCAGATATGCTGATTATTTATTTACAAAACCTATCCTCCAGTCTTTGTGCAGGAGGTCTTAGTATCTCCAGTTAGTATCCGCCATTGAGTTCAGAAAAACTTTAAACTAAAATGAATCTAAAATGCAGATTGTTAGCTAAATGTGATTTTTTGACGAAAATGTTCCTCACTAATATTGTTAGGGTAACATCAACCAGCACTGCTGATTTTAAAGGCCCTGGGCAGATTTTATTGACATAGCAACACACTAAGGCTGCAATCTGATATAGCAACTACATAAATCTAATGGATGGCAAGAAAAAAATGCTACAAAATTAAGAGAACAGATTGTATAATTTTGCTTAAGGACATTCTTCAATGAAGACCGTCAGTTTCTCCATTAAATAGTTTTTTTTTCAGCATGAATGACTTAATGTTAAAATGACATGAATACAATCATTATTTGATATAGATCGAATTGATGTCAAAAGATTGATCTCAAGTTGATCTACGTTTTTTTAATAAATTATGATAACAGTTTTTTATATCAGTATTTGACGTCACATTGATGTTTATTTGACATCTTTTCCCCACAGGATTTGGATATAACATATCTTGCAAATTGATCCAGCAACACCCACACAAAATCACGCCTCTATTCCCATGCTTCATAGTTAAGATGTTAGTCATAGAGCTGCAAGGTCACCTATTTTCTTCTAAAAAAGAATTATGGGTGATCATTTTATTCTTAGATTTGTAAGGCCCTGTTTCAAAGGTTAATATTTTACAAACACGTATTTATAAACTCTACTTTATATTTATTTGCTACTTTTTGGAGTAATAAAAGTTAATATCTCTACAATGTAATTTGCTGTTGTTTATGATTAAAATAAAAAGGTTTGTTACTAAATAGGACCTGTCTCTATGCTGAACATTTGCATGGAGCTACTTGATGTTAATGGAAGTTTTATTTCAGATTTGTCTCTTTACAATATCTTGGCTTATTTCATGTAAGTCCTACTTTTCATGTCATATTCTGAAAAGTTAATTCTAAGGATATCCTTCATCTCCTTTTTTTCAATTAATAGAAAGTCATTTGTTAAAAAATATCCAAGTTTTGTAACTGTAATAAATACATTTTAAAATAGCATCCAGAACACATGCAGACTGTGGGAACAAATTTATTTGTATCTTGTCTAATATACAGAAAGGATTCATTTTACAGTTTACGAACAACTGACCAGGTTTATGAAGCAAATGATTTAGTGCACAGGATGACGGCCTTTAGTTCAGACGTCTTCACCCTCATATGCACTGGTAAAATCCAACAAACTGAACTGCACATGTGTTTCTGAGATACGACTTCACTAAACCAGCTAAAAAAAAATGTGTAAAAGAATTTTATGCAAAGAAAGTCACAAGTTCACACTCTTCAAAAGAAATCCATAATTCTTCCTTATACCATTTTTTTTAAACATGTACCAAAAAGGACAACATAAGTTTATTAGGAGCATTTTATTGTGGTTAATCCTTAGAATTAAGTCACATCCTAAGTTTGTGCTGACACGTATAAACAGCAAACGGTTGGGGAAAAAACTGCAGCATGACTCTCCCAACATTTCCATTATTCCAGTCCATAAACTCTGCAGGAAAAAAAAACACAAAACTTATTTTGCTTCGGTTTACATTTGCTGATGAATCATAGGCAGTGATGATAGCAACAGTGGGTGCATGTTGGTCAGTATGTTATTCTTGTAAACATTTATGACCGGAAGTAAGTTTCATTACAGCAAAGATTGGAGAAACGGCGTTTTGTTAAGTGGGGTTGTGTGGAGTAGGTAGATGCAGTAAGCATGTTGTGGTAGAAAGCATTCCAACCAAATTAAATTTTGGTAATCAGGGAAATGTTCAATGGAGGAGTGGAAATATTTTCTACTTCATGTCAAAATTAGTTACGGTATCTAGAACATTGTGCGTCAAGCATAATGGGCCTTACGGAGCTGTCCTCAGTAGTTTGAGAGTTAGCTGAGTTTACTTTAGCTTCACACAGTTATCAGAGCTAGACCTCCTGAGTTGCTGTTTACTTGCCCATATTTAGCCTTTATCTTAAGCCTGAGTAGTTTATTACCCAGAAGGGTAAGGTTATTTTTACTCTGAGCTCCTTTAGTCATCTACCTAGCAGGAACTAGCTATTACCTGACACACTTAAATGTGGTCATTAGTAGGGGAGTGCAAAATAATCGTGATGATGATGCATCGTGATTCTAATTTTCGTGATCTACTGCATCGATTCTTGATGTCAAGAATCGATTATTAATTTAAAAAAATTAATAAATAAAATTGCATGAATGGTTGGCGAACATCAGCCAAAAACAAGTGTAATACAACTTCCAGTACAGTAGATGTCACTGCAAATGTGTTGACGCACGCTGCCTTGTGTCACAAGCATTTCCGGCCGCGGGATACTGTGCCGAGTCATTCAAAAACAAAACATGGAGGAGAAAATATTGCAATGCATCGCAATAATTCAAGTATCGTGATGCATCGTGATAGAATCACATCGTGGCCTGTGAATCGTGATTCGAATCGAATCGTGACTTCAATACCCACCCCTAGTCATTAGCTAGGTGACTGGCTAGACAATAGCCTCACTGTATTTAAGTCTCTTTTAATTGAGGAAGCTATGAGCTTGACTTTTAAAATCCATTAGGTATTATCTGATTGGGTTTTAGCCTAAGTTATGATTAGCATGATTTTTACTAACAGTTGGGCAAACTTATATTACTTTTAGCATTATTTGCATTTAGCTATATCATGATAAGCTGAGTCCTCATTGGCTTGCCCTTAGCAAAAAGACGTTTATTCAAGTATACTAAAAGTGCACTAATTTCATACTTAAAATCAGGCAGTGCACTTGGAGTTTACTTATTCTAAACTGTATTTCATATACTATTGTTTACTAAAGTATACTTTAAGTATACTTTAGTAAACTTAAAAATGTCCCAATTTAGTTCGATTACTTTAGTAATAATTCAAGTACACTAAAAGTACATTGTTCGGTATACTTTCTAAACTCATACTTAAGTATTCTCAATAGAATTTACTTAAAGTATACCACTTTTTGCTAAGGGTGATAGCAATTAGCTGTTAGCTTTAGAAACGAAAGCTTAGCTTTTTTTCTGTTTTAAATCCTCTGATATTACAACCAAATTTGCCTGTTGTGCTTTCAGTGTACCGTACTTCCAAAGTCTCCCACACAATGCCCCCCAAAACAAAAGCTGTCTCATTAGGGAGAAAAGCTCTGTCTTTCTTCACACAACGGAGTCGTTTGACAACATAATTCTGTAATTCTGTGTCAACTGTCCTGTAAATATTTTCCAAAAGGATTTCAATAAAAACACCCTAATCTACCTATCACATGCACATTTTATACACATAAAGTCTCATAGAATTCGTCATTAAATTTACAAGTTTGGTGAAAAACAGGATCATTACAAGAAGTTAGGTATTCAAGGAAAGAGTAACCCCAAGAAAAGCTGTCAGATTTGGCAGGCGTTCCTCCCAGTGTCACATGTTGTTACCTCAATACAGTGTGCTTATTAGTGCCTGCTTTTTAAAAACCATGCCTATCACCCGATCCTATGTGAAAGAAGGCACTTACAGGAGATAAGTGGTACAGGCCCAGTTTACAAACCACTGTGTGGATCTCAGCAGTGACTCTTCAAGTAAATTAGTGGTTTTTCTGAGTTGCAGATATCTTGTGGCAATTAGGAAGGAGCTACACAGGAGCCTAAAAAACAGTAGGGGGCTTTTAGTGCCTTCTGTTAATTCATACATTCATATGCATGCAATCTTCCTATATAACAAGTGGTCACTCAAATTTTTGAGGGTCTATTTACACAAAAAGGTTCTGCTGGCCAAACAAATTTCAACAAGAAAGGCAGACATTTTGGCAAAATTGTACAGTACATCACTGTGATAAGTCAGTGACTTCAAGATTATGCTTAAAATTTTAAATCAGTGCGATTTAAAAAGAAAAAATCACAATACATTAACACAGTACAGTGGGAAGAATAAATGTTAACTTTCTGAAAGGAGAAAAGTAAAACAAATACATTATATTTTCACAGGTGCTTTAGAAAAAACATGGGACACTGTTTCCTTCATTAAATTATCGTTCTAATCGCTATTTAAAAAAAGAATGATCTTTTTCTGAAATTTAGAACCAATATAAGGGATTCAATTCAGCTACATACAAATAAATCCCATAAAACAAGCAATTTGTGTGGTTACGTTTGGTAAATAACTATTCAGTTATCAAAGTTTAAGTGCTCTATTCATGTATTTCACTCTGCAAAATGGCTATTTCCACAGTCAGTGTAATGATGGCTCAGATGATGTTCAGTGATGTTACAGGATGCACATTAACTGGACAGAAGTGACAGAAACTGGAGGGGACAACTGATATGATTATCAGAAAGGTTAAACAACTACCAGTGAAGCAGTGGTTGTGCTTGTTGGTAGCTTTCTGAAGAAATTATTCTCTCGACCTTTATGTTTATCAAATATCCAGTGCTCCCTAAGTATTGAAAGCTCACTTCCTGGGGTGGAAGACCATTAGAGGTCTGTCTTCTATCTTCTGCCAGGGGCTCTTCTTGTTCTCATCTTTGTCATCAGGATCATCCTCCGGGCTCGTCATGGAGTCGCGACGATTCTCACTGTTGCTGCTGCGACTGCTGTTCCCTCGGCTACGACCTCTTCTCGGGATGGTGGATCCACGTGACGACGATCCTTCATCCAGAAGAGGAGTGAGGGAGTTTTCTTCAGGTGACACCGGGCGTCCCTCGCTGCTGCTCGGCTCGCTGTGATCAGGGTAGGCAAGTTTGGAGTAATTCTTTCCACCGCCGCCGCTGCTGCTGATGCCGTGACCCTTCCGTCCTCCTGTCCCCCAGCGCTCATCCTTCCCCTTACGATTGCCAGACAATTTTCTCTCTTGAGACTCAAGAGGCGGCTCAAGGTTCACATCGCGTTGAGTGCTACTGGAGCCACCTCCGAATCCGCCGCCACTGAGATCATTGCTGACGTCGATGTAGGAGTGACGGACGTGAGCGTTAGCGCGTCCATCTAGGGAAATAAACCATGCGCGTGGGTGCTGTTTGACACCCAACTCCAAGAGCTTCTTCTCCGTCAGAGCCTGCAGTTCTCCATTCATCTGGGCCATGGTGGAGTCATTGAAGAGCACAGGGATGGTCACAGCTCCGCCGGAGGAGTCAGAGGCCCAGCTAGGTTCCTCAGAGTCGTCACCCTGAGATCCGCCTTGCTGCTGGCCTTGTTTCTGGGAGTGGTGGTGGTGGTGCTGCTGGCCACTTCCTATTGGTGTCCCATCTTTGTCTTGGTCTTTCTGGTCCTTCCCATCCTTACCAGAGAACTCTGAAGGTAGGCGCATGTAGTGTGCTGGGATGACCAGTGTTGGCACCATACTCCTGTACATGTTCTCTTTCATCTGGTCAATGGAGCTGCAGAAGATGATCTGACCAGGCTGGGTGTTTAGGGAGGTGGGTCTGGCAAGGTTGTCTGCTGCCGTTGCTGAATATTCTGGAGGTTTGTCGGACTGACTTGGCACGTATCCCTGGAAACGAGGTGGGGATGGAGGATCGGAGGAGTATCCTCGATTGTCGTTGGCGTTATGATGTCTGTGATACTCAGACTCCTTACTCTCCTTGGGGCTGTAGCTTCGGTTGTAGTCTTCATGCAGTAGAGGGTTATCAAGGTTGTTGGTCTCGGTTGCACGTGTGACCTTCATGGGGAAGCTCTCTCCCCTTTGGGAACCTGAGGTGTTTTTCCCTTTTGCATGTCGAAGCATGTGAGCAGGAACATGCTTAGTCAGGTCTTCTCTTGAACTCTGGTAGTCTCGAGATGGAGACAAATCAGATTTGTCGTTGGAGGGGCCCGACTCCACATGGCCTCCACAAATCAGATTCAGACGTGAGGTCGATGTTCCCTGGTCTCTCTTAGCTCCATTTAGATTTGATGTGTGGGGTTTGCCCTGATGTCGGCGAGGCTTCAAACATTTTCGTCTGTAAAATAAACATCAGAAATCAGGCCTCAGGGAGAAATTTCTTTAGGTACAACATGTTTCACTATTTGCTTTGCATTTATTTTTTTTATCGGCAAATAAGAATAATAACTGAAACTTGAGCGGAAGCTTGCTATACCTGCAGTAGTAGAGCAGCACACAGAGTAGGATGAGCACCAGCAGAGCCAAAGAAGCCAGAATGGACAGCAGGAAAAGGGTGTGGTAGGTGGTGATATCCCTCAAACCTGGATGAGAAAGACCGAAACCTGCAAAAATAGTATTAACAGTTAATCTTACAAAGACGAATCCATTAAATTCCATCAACCTTACAAAATCTTTGAGGTCTACACAAAAAAGTCAATGATGCTGTTGGAATAAACCATCTAGAAAGCACATAATATATCAAATTAAGCTTTTTAAAGATTGACATTGTTTCCATAACTTTGCAGAGCACTATAGGTAGGTCAGAACTGCCATTTTTAAGCCTTACTTTTAAGTGTGATTGAGTAGTTCACTCTACCACACAGTTACAAGGTCGTCTTATCTAGCAGCTCTTAAAAATGCTGTATCTTGAGGATAAGGATGTGGATCAAAGTTTTCATTTGGCATATTTGACAGGATTGCTACTCATTGAATTATAATATTGTTACATGTGCAGCCAAAAGATTTTTCTGTTGTTGCTAAAAGAATTCGGGTTGCATTTTCATCAGTTCTGCACCAGTGATGCGCAAGTGGCTAAACTTGGAATCTGATCTTCAGAAGGTTTGCTTGTCTTAAAACAAGTGCAAACATTTTTCTATGGACACAGCAGATCTTAAAAAAAGTAATTTACTTTTATAGTCCAGCAAACAGAATGTTCAAATCTTGCTTGCATGTATGGATAAATCAATATGCAGATCATATTCTACTGGCCAGACTGTGCCAATTCATGGGCAAAGGATATGCTAATGTAAACATTTATCACTTAAAAGGTAATTCTTCCCACCTTAAACAGAGCTGCAGCTGCATTGTAAACTGACATGCAAAAATATCTGCAGTCATTGTTGTCACAATGGAGGCATTGGTACGATGCCAGACAATTGAGGGAGATTCTGTGTGCATGTAAATCATATTTGGACCACCAAAAATAATAGAATAATATTAATAAAGAAAAAAATCATCTAAGCAGGTGGGCACAAATCAATACTGCTGGAGGACAGAATTATTTTCTACAGTTAAACTGAATCCAAAAAATAAAACAGAGCATTTTAACGTTTATAAAACATGCAGGAGGGATGGGGTGAAAAGTGCACAAGAAGCACTATAAATACAATATATCTTCTTCCACTTATTCCATCAGGGTCACAGTGGGGCTGGCGCTGATCTCCAGCAGTCTATGGTTGAAAGGCAGGGTACAACCTGGACTGGTCGTTAGTCCATCAAAGGGCTACATGGCCACACATGTTTTGCACACACAGAGATTCAGAACTAAGGGCAATTAGAGAGAAGCCAATTAACCTAACAGTCAAGTTTTTAGACTATGGAGGGAAGGCAAAGTACCCAGAGAGATCCCAACTTGCACAGGGAGAACATGTAAACTCTATGCAGAAAGACCCTGGGCTGGGAATCAAACCCAGAACATTCTTGATGCAAGGCAGCAGTGCTACAAACTGTGCCACTGTGCAACCTTGCAATAAGATATAATTTTTTTAATGGTTTTGAACCTCATCCTTCTTTTACACCACTCTCAAACTGCCTGTGGAACATGTAATCTGCTCATTTTAATGGGCAAAACCAAACCCGTCTGCACTTCTTTACATTTGTAGATCACCCACATAACGGCAATTTTATGCATGATTGCATGTACAATTTAGCCCCTCTTATTTAGAATCTTTGAAGATCAGGCCCTTAGTGTGTAAGAGCTTAGAAGCTAATGCCAAGAACACTATGTGGTACCCTGGCTTATCTGGTGATCAAGCTGTTCATGCTGCAGGGCCATATTTTGCAGGGCAACATGGGATTTTTTGCTTTCCATTTTACCATGTAAACAAGATGCAGACACACAGTAGTGTGGTAGTGTTGTTAATTTGAAAACTTTCAAAAAACAAAACTAAGACAAAGGATTTACTTTTAACATCAATGTGCATCATGAGAACTGAGGAAAATGCTGCAAAATCCATGAAGGACAAATTTCCATCTGAGATCTGCAGCCCAACAACTTCCAAGACTCTAAAATCTGTATTTTTGGAACAGTTAGGTCATGTTGGAACCAAGTAAGTACCTGAAGATGAAGGAAAGGCGGCTAACCAATATCCCATCTGAGGAACCACAGCGTTCCAAACAAACTGCGTTCCGTCCTTTTGTATGTAGCCGGTACCGTTTCGAACCCACAATCCTACAGGATTAACACAATGTCATCATCATTTCATCAAAATCTGTCATCAAAATCTTAGCAGATATATATATATATTGATTCTGTGGTTTCTTTTTAGGAGATTAACATAACTATGTTCTTTTTCAGCATCTTTTATTTTTAGGTCTACCTTACCTGTCTTAGGCTGATACAGCCATGTAGGGACACTTGTGGCCATCCTGTTTCGGGTGTCAGACGGTAGCGGTACAGAGATGTGGATCGGATCAGAGACCGGGATCGTGCCGCCATCTTTATCAAACAGCTGAATGCTGATAACCGCCAGAGCTGTCAAGTCTGTCCATCCTGTCTCCGCCCCATGGAGAGAAAATATCAGCAATATTAGCATAAACTGTACTTTATGCTGGATGAATTTATGTGAAAAAAGGCCAACAATCCGACGTTTTTCTTTCAAACTTGACACATAGACTAAAACACGACTCTCTGGCAAGTTACACAGAATCTGCAGTAATGCATACAGCTGATCTTGTATTGTAAGGATTTTATAAATTAGAAGACAATGATGAACAATTGTTTCACTGTTCAGCAATTGTAGAACATTACTTATCACTTATAAGATCAAATTAAATGACAAACCTAATCATTGTTTTAAGATTCAGAGAAACAAATAAAATGAAAACCATATTGAAAAAAACAGACTTCACATTTTCCATTAAACAAAAAATGACTGGCAAGCAGGTTTTATTTCCTTTCATGAACATAAGAAAGAGGTCAAGATGACACTTTAACTTTTGCTAATTATTTTCTTGAAATATCACTGCCTGTTCATTCCTTTGAAAATACCAGAACCAGCCTCCAAAACCAAATACACAGGGACTAACCTGAGCTGTTGGTCTCCTGGCCCAACAGGAACGGGAACCCACCGATCTCATACTGACTTCTGGCTGTGGTCAGAGCTGCAGACAGCGCCGTGTAGTTGGAGCTGGGAGGCAGCTGAATGGACTTCCTCTGCAGCTGAACCAGCGGCTGGTTACGAGCTCCTAAAAGCAAATTAACCAAGTTCAACATCTAAAATCATGAACCAATGTTACTCTTTAGGGGTTGTAAAATTAAGATAAAAAAGGTAGATTTGAAGCTAAAACATTATATCAGATTTCTTTGTCAATTACCATCTGTAAAACGTCCTTATATGCATTCAATACTGTCTATAATTATCTTGGGCTACACTTATAGCGGCATCATCGCTTTGCCGCCTTTATAAATCCACTCTAAGTGCGCTTCCATAACAAATGTGTGCAAAACTAGGTTGATATTTCATTCATATCGAAATTGCAAGAAACAAGTTTTGCAATTGTTTTGTTTTTCAATCAAATGTTTACAATTCAAATTGCATGTGAATACGAAACCACATGGCAACAGCAGATGTAAAGAAATGAGATGTATCCACATTTCAGCTACTCCTCTAGTGAGCGCCATCATCCACCATCTACCTCCAGTCTTCGTCTTTATATGGCCATGTCACACCTTGCCGATTTAGACAGCTTATGCCTGACGTCCCAGAATCTTCTAAAACGCAGGGATACGGTGAACTTTCTATGTATTTTTTCAATTTTGGGGGTGTATACATAGAATATTCATAACGAGTCTGGAATTCTGTTCAATGACAGCCGAACTTATGCATAACACACAGCAGCGCAATGCCCATGAAGTGATGCACAAGCATCATTACATTGGCATTACGAAGAATCAGATAAAGCTGCTCCCCTCAGGTGCACCCGCCTGCATAAAAAGATGTCTTTGATTGCAGTATTAAAGGAATAGTACACCCAAAACATGATTAGCCTCCATTTTCTACTCACCCCCATGCTGAACAACACTCTGGAGTACTTTTTTGATATCTCAAATGCATCTGGAGATCTGGGAGGCTTCTTGCTGTCTGCTGACATTCAAATAATGGAGGTCTACTGTGCCCGAGACAGAAAGGTCCATAAAAGTCCACAAAAACGTGTCAATATTCCTCCATACTGCTCGTCCAATGTATTCCAAGTGTCCTGAGTGGGTAGCATCCAGAATTTACTCGAAACGAAGTCATTTAGAATGTTTTTAGAGCATAAACAGTAGTGTATAGGATTTCCTGAAAGCGCGTTCACGAGTCTACGGAAACCGCGGCAGACCAAGCCAGATGAAAGTGCGCATTCAGCTCGGCAAAGAACTCATGCTCTTCCTCAACACTGAAGTCCTCAAACATTTTTCTTTCGTTGTTTCTTTCTTTGCACAGGTAAACAGCACATTTCTTCTTCTACGCTTGCATTATCGGCAGAGCAGACGCTGAATGCGCACTTTCATCTGGTTTGGTCTGCCGGCTTCCGTAGCGTCCTGAACGCGCTGGCGCGCGCATTCAGGAAATCCTATGCACTACTGTTTATGCTCTAAAAACATTCTAAATGACTTCGTTTCGAGTAAATTCTGGATGCTACCCACTCAGGACACTTGGAATACATTGGACGAGCAGTATGGAGGAATATTGACATGTTTTTTGTGGACTTTTATGGACCTTTCTGCCTCGGGCGCCATAGACATCCATTATTTGAATGTCAGCAGACAGCAAGAAGCCTCCCAGATCTCCAGGTGCATTTGAGATATCAAAAAAGTACTCCAGAGTGTTGTTCAGCATGGGGGTGAGTAGAAAATGAAGGCTAATCATGTTTTGGGTGTACTATTCCTTTAACCTAGCTGCTGCTTACGGCCCACCCAAAAAAAAAAGAATAAAAAGAAAAAGAAAGAAAGAAGGTTTGCAGTTGTAGCAGATTCAGCATCATGCCTGCTAGTTTGTTGGTCATGTCCATGGGGCATGAACGCAGGAAGGATCCATCACACTCCATCACACTCACCTTCTCATTCACCCTAAGATGCGGATGCAATCTGGAGAAGAACTGCCGGTTTCCTTCTGTGAACCCCCCTTTATACCAAAATGCTGCCAATATGCCATTAAACAGTAGCTGTAAGTTAGAAACTCGTTCAGCGGTCGTCTGGAACACATCAAATATGTTGATACGTGTTGGAAGTTCTTGATAAGTTAAGCATAAGTTATGCACACATACTCATAGGTTTTGGATAAGCTAGACACCAGGACTTATGAGTAACTTACACTTAACGTATATCAACGATCAGATAACTTTCCTGTAACTTATGGCCCACATATGAGCATACGCTGGCATACATACTTGCAGTATGTCAATGTGCTTCAGCGTACTCATAACTTAAACAAAATGTACCCATAATTTATTGAACATGTAGCAGTGTTTTTCCCAGATTTTTCGTACGTAATGTATACGCTGGTCTAAATCGTCAAGGTGTGACAGGAGCTTTATGAGGCAGTAGGTCCAGTTGCAGATCACATGACTTGTGTGATGCCAAATAATGTATTGCAATTGCAATTGTGCAAAATATAACAATTTCAATATGACCAAAAACCACCCCATTAAAGTGTAGAAACTTTTTACTGAAAATAGTTTTTTTTAACTACTGTATTTCCGTTTACTAAAATATTTTTTTTGTAATTACAGTGTGTGCAATTTGATGATTAATGGAAACGCAACTAATGAGATGTTTTCAAATTATCTGCAAATGTGCTGAAGACTGGACCTAGATCATCTGATAACATCAATGTTCAAGCCAAGGGTGTAACTTTGTGATTAAACAAAAAAAATGGTGGAGACGCTCTAAGGGTGGTGGCTGTTAGACCTACAGCTACTCAACCCGAATGCTTTCAAAGGGTTTATACTTTCCAAAAATGAGCTCAAACATATACTCATTGAATGCTTTCCTATTATTGATAACAGAAGAGTAATAAAATGTATAGTTATAGACAGATGCCTGCCTTTAGTGCATTATTTATAAAGGGCTCAAAAACGTTAATGTATAAAAAAATGACAAATAACAGCCGATGCCGATGCTAACATTGATATATCATGCATCCCTAGTATGGACACAACCTTAATTCCATCCATCCATTCAGCACGGCTTCCCTTTAAGCTGCATCAGTGATTATCCTACTTCACAAGCAGCAAAATCAAATTTAGAAATGTGTCCCATATGTCATTGACAGCCAAAGTCTATTTATCGAACCTTATATTTCAAAAATATAATCATTTATACACTGATTTTTATTATTTGTGCTTTAAGAGGTTTCTATATTTTAATTTTAAGTCTGTGTCCTGTGAGTCTGACTGTCTCTGGGTTGCTGGCACAGCTATTTCTGAGTCTTGCTGAACTACAAAATACATAAAGATATGTTGAATTTTATTATAGCATTGCGTATTTTTTTCTTGTAAACTTGGAGATATATTTGATTGCATGTTGCATATCCCAGTAAATCTGTTTCACCTTTAAATCAGCAGCTCTCCCTAACTGTGTCTCTGCTCTGCTTAAAAACAGATTTGTGAACCTGTCTACCAATATAATGATGCAAGAGAAAATCATTTACAAGATATCTGGAAGCTCTGCAGTCTTATTCTCTGTTCAATAAGAAAACAACAGATATGTGTTAATTTTAATTTGTAACTCTGACTAATGGACCTTTGAGAAGCCCAGTTTTTTAAACTTATATAAAGGTACACTTGCCATTTTTAGCTGAAAAAGCTCCGTATGTGTAATGAACGGATTTTTCTGTGGCATCTCTAATTTTTTTAACCAACCGGTCTCCTGAAATTCACTTGAACATCTATCGAAGTAGCTGCCGGATATAATTCACTGAGTGCTGCTGTGTCTCTCCTCCTCCATGTAGCTACTCTGTACGCAGCAAATAGCAACCCTAAATAATATTATGTCCCAAAGCGACAGATCCGATGATATTTCACCGGGAGGTAGGACTCGAGAGCTGCGGGAGAGAGGAAAAAAACACAGACTCAAAATGCTCTGGACACAGACAGCTGCACCTAACCCCAGTTACTGTTGGCTGAAGTAAAACAGCGGAAAGGGGGAAGAAAGCGGAAATTATTGTTGGGGACTGTCCCCTCCATGCCATTGGGTGGGACACGTCAACACCAGTCCTTCAGAAAATGACGCCAGTGGTTCAAGCCTTGCCACAAATTCTATTTACAGTATCTGGGATTAGACTTTAAAAAGACCACTGTGGAATGTGTTTAGGATGAAAAGGGTTTGTTCTGGTTTCATCTGATTGGAGCATTTGTCTCCATTTTTTGTGTTATACCATGCATGGCCTCTTGTGGCTTTCATTGATGCCTTTTATCTTGCATTTTTCCATAAAGGCCAAATTTGAAGAATACATGAATATTTGTCCAGTCAACATTATCCACCTGGGTTTTTTTGCATGATTAATTCCCCTCCTGTGAAGTTGGACGGGTGTGTCTCAGTAGGTTACAGTGGTGCTGTGGTCTTTTCTGCTTACTGATCTTGAATTGAATTGTGTTCTGTGGGATATTTAAACACTGGGATATTTGTTTTATTAACTTAAACCTGTTTAAAACGTTCCTTCTGGTCTGTCTCTTGTTTCCCTTGGTCTTATTCATGTTCTTATTTCGTTTATGTTTTCCTTCAAACCTTTGAGGCCCTCACAGAATTACTGAAACCTTCGTTTGAGTAGAAATAAAACTAAAACCTTTAAAGTTTAGCCAAATTTATGTCATCTGAGATGTTTTTTAAGCTGTTTTCGTGAGCCTTAACTTGGTTAAAACTTAACTTCCTGAACAACTCTGGATATTGATTAACAAGCTTGATTTGCTGTTAAAAGTGATTTTTGTGTTACAGCTTTTTTTCTTTTAATTTACTTTGAATATATACAACCCACCTGTGTAATCTGACTGACTCTCTACTATTGCATTGATTTTTGTATATTGATGTACAAAGCAAAAAAAAAGGCAAAAATAAACTCGAATTTAAACCCAGCCAAGATTACAACCATGCATTCTCACACTTTTTAAGGTTTTTAATACAGGAAACATTTACGTTAAGCTGATCTAACCCATAAAACCCCAGATAAATACATACATTTTTGTAGCTGTGACGAGACAAAAGACAAATAAAAAAAACTTTTATGGCTTTTATTTCAAGCACATGCACAATTAAAGTGAATCACTCAATAACAAATTTGGTTATTTGGAAAAAAGAACAATCTAAACCTGCATTCAGTACAAATTTACTCTATTCTCACCTGGTGATCCAGACAAGACCTGCAGGACGTCATCGTACAGGATGAGGGTTCCTGGCCTCTCTACAAGAAGGTACAGGCTAACTGAGGCATACACTGAGAAAAGAACAGACATCCAGTTTGGAAAGAAACAGATTTAGAAAGAGAAAGAAAGACAACAGACAATATTTCAATTTAAATAACTTCATAAATCTCCACAAACGAGGAAAGCAAGACTCTAATACCTAAAGCTCTCATGTGTTTTATTAAATTTGAATCATTTTAAAGGAAAATTTTTCTGATAATGATAGAATCCTATATAATGATGATCTGAAGCCATGTGACATAATTATTATTTATAATAATACATTTATAATCATTTAAAATTATGTCAGACCTGGTGATGAGACATCAATTCTGCAGTGCTCTTACGTGCTATTTGGACAGCACCATCACCAGCAAACTGATTTATTTTTTAGATTTTCAGGTTATACATGAAGATAAATACCATCTGAATATTTCCAACAAAGCTGCTGTGGCTGTGACGAACTATTTTAACCCAGGATTGCACATTTCCTGCCTCCCTGCATTAGTGTCTGATGGTTTATTCTTGTGCAAAGACACATATTTAAATTGACTCTATGTGACAGACGTGCAATATTTTCAAATAATATCAAGGCTTTCGTGTGTAAAACTAAAAGTGAAGGATGGTGAAAGTGCAGTCGACCTACAGGGGATCCGACTGGAGTGCCAGGGCACCGAGTTGGTGACATAATCTTGTTTGGAGGCTGCGATGATGACCCACGTGCTGACTTTGTACAGGAAGCTGACCCTCACCACGCCATCTCTTCCGGCGTGGCTGGACGCCAACAGCGTCTGATTCCCGTGGACTTCTACCTGAGCATCTGCTAACGGCGAGAGGTCGCTGTTGTCAAAAACCTGGACTTTTATTTGCACCTCTGCAAGAAGAGAAAGAAAGGTAATGAGTGATTAAAAAAATAAAAGTCTGATTAAAGTTATTCTGTAAATAAAGCCTGGTTTACAAAGATGCAATGTCTTAAAAATAATTGAAATAAAGCAGATCCACAAAAGGGTATAACATTTTCTGTAGTGTTATTAATCTTTATTGCCGACTGGTAATCCATTTTTAATGATGATTCTACCATAATTGATAATCACTACATTGACAGGAAATAAAAACATATATCCTTATGAAAACATAAAAATTTACACAAATGACAACTATTGAAAACATACTAAGAAAATGGGTGTCTTTTGTTATTTTTCCTTAATTGGTATCGTTAAAACATTTGGAAATGTTTGTGGCTTTTTTGTTTTGCTTGATTTCAGCAAATATGTTTTTAGTTGTAAAAGGGATAGAGCTGCATAAGTCTTTAAAATGCCTAAACCCTTTTTAGTCTGTCCTTTACTAGAAGCTGCATGCAGTAATCTGCATTGAGACATGTTTGTAAAATAACCCACTATGAAAAGGATTTCAAAGGACAATTATGTTGTGACTTCAGAGGCCAAATATACTGTGTTTAGAATTCAAAAAGCAATAAGCATCATCTTATTTTTATGTCACCTAAAATACAATAAAGGTTATGGGTCAGTTGGGAACTAACAGTTTTTAAGCTAACAGTCGTTAAAGTACCTAAAGAACACAGAAATGTTGGATGCAGGAATTTGATCTTCAACCATAGGGTTGTAGGTTTAAACCCTGGCTCTGGCTTTCAATGCTGTGTCCTTGGGCAAGGCATCTCACCTGCATTGCCTGTTGTCAGAGGGCATGGTGGCGCATTTGCACAGCAGCCTTGCTTGCCATTGAGCCCCAGGGCAGCTGTTCCTACTATGTAGCTTGCCACCATCAGTGTGCATGAATGGGTGAGTGACTAAATGTTGTGTAAAGTGCACTGCTCAAGTCTCTAGACTTTAAAAAGTGATATATAAGTACAGGCCATTTACCATCCGTCACACAGAGGGGGCCAAAAAGCCAAAATATTAAAAATCTTTGCTGATAAAGTGACTGAAAAGTAACGTAAGAGCTTCTGTTTTAATTAGACACAAAATATCTTTGAATAATGATGAAAAAAAATAAAGTTGTAATAAAAGAATAAATACCTTTATTTATCTACTTCTTATTTTTGATCAAGCTATTGATTTAGCTAAGTTTATTTCATGTGCAGCACTTCTATTTATAAAGCACAATTAGAACAAACTGTAATGTAATGGACACATTTTAACATGACAATCAATGAGAATCATCTGTTTGTATATTTAGAAATAGATGGGGATAAGGTAATTGAGTTAGTTAAAATTAAATTATTGAAACCCTAAAAGAAATCTTGGTAATCTACATTTTTTATGCTTTATATTCACACTGGATGTTTCAAAACCCATGGAAAAACTAAATCCTATTTTAATTGTATTTGAAAAAAAAATAAAATAATCCAAGTTAGTCCAAAATTCATACTTTCATGGTCAGATTTTTTAGAGGAGAAAATCCTGCTGCCTTCACCTCCAGTAGAGATGGATCATCACAGACGCACCCTCTACAAATCTCATCATGTTATCAACATTTAGTTCCTCATCCTGCCTCTTGGACAGCATGGATATGGGTCACGCTGTTACTATGGATACACTCCAACTCTCCCAAAGCTGCCTTGTTGTGCTTCTTCCCTCAGCTGAGTTCCTGTGTAGTGAGAAGCTGCGGTCATCTGAAACCGTTCAGCACAAAAAGAACCCAACACCAGCGGTTGTTCTAATATGTATAAGACTTTTAGCAGCATATATATGTGTGTTGTAGCTGTGCCTCTATGTTCATTGAGCATGCCTACATGTTGTCACACATTAGAATAATTGGAACTATAAAGCCCTCTTTGTGTATGTGTTTGAAGAGGATTTCCTCAGTCTGGACTCCACACTTGAAAAACTGGCTTGAAGCAGCTCCATTGATAGAAACACTGAGTCATAGTGTCACACAGTGGGAATTATTCCTCTGAAAGTGTTAAAGCAACTACTCAGAGCAATATAAATCATTGAACTTGGATAAGAAATGCTCTTTTAACATAAAATCAATTCTGCAGTTGACAAATTTAATTAGCCTTTATAAGAATTTTGCTGTTTTATATTTTGCTATGACCATAAATCAAACTATCTTGTTTATTTTTTGACCTTACAATACTTTAGTCAACAGTCTGCGGGCAGTTTTAATTTTTCAGGGAAAAGTAACTACACCTGCTGAAATAGACAATTGGGGGATTGTGTTGGAAAAACTCCACCCTCGTATGTTCACCTGCTCAATATTGTATAAAAATTCTCTTTATGCTGATGTTTCTTTAACATTGTAATCACCTGTTTGGCATTCAAACAATTTGTGCGAATGTGTGGATAAATGGTTAACAGTGGTGAATTAGTGTTCCTGTAACAATTAAAAAAATGGCCTTTATTTGAAACACAATTAATACACATTTGTAATTCCTGATTATTACTTATACTTTTTGCTTATGTAATGCAGTGTAGCACACTGGGCCACTGGGAGGAATTTCAAAAGTAGCCCTAAAAACTCTATATCAAACTTCTGTATTTAAATAAAACATTAGAGTAAAATGTACACTATTTTTGAAACTGTATTAAAAAATGATATCATATTTTATGACTTAGAAACTGTGAGAAAAAAAAAAAAAAAAAGCTGACAAAACTACATAATAAAATGTAGAAACTTGTTGTCCAATACTGAAAGTGGCATACAAGTATCATATTATTCATATAGACGATATTACACAAAACCTAATTTTAAAATGAACTATGTTTTACTGTTATTTCATTATCAAAATCAAAGTGACATTTTGATTACTATGTTCCTTAGCAGTAGCTTTGGCAAGGCGAGGCAAACCTTCCTGTCCCTGAAAAACAAGCAGTCATCACCTTCCTATGTAGGACAGTGATTTCCTGCCCCCTCAAGGAAACATCTAACCTTATTGCGTTGTGTCTTCCTAAAAACACGCCCACTTTCCCCAATCTGTGAAAAGAGATTAGGCAGAGTGCGATTATTCTGCTCAAAGTGGGGACAAAGTGGATCTTTTTCACATTTTATAACGCCTGGAAATTCTCAAGTTCTCCTTTTAGATGTCTGAATCATAAGCAGCTGTATCATACTGTTTTAGTTTCAAGCCTCAAGCACCCAAGGTGAATAAGTCATGGTAAGTATGGAAAGAGTTGCATGAAGTTAGTTTGCTGCAACAGTTTAACAGATAATAAAGAAAAAATTGCATTTTGTCCAATAACTTTAGTATTTAAAAATGTACTTAGGGTATAAATAGTCTAACAACTAAAGCAAAATATAGCTGTTAACAAATAACGTTAGTTTATCATGACTTATTTTTGTTTCATTACCTTTTTTTTTGTTTCATCAACAACTTATTCGTGTTTTATCCCACCCATATTCTTGTTTTATCCCCAACTTATTCTTTTTTAATCCCCAACTTTTTTTTAATTCACCAACTTATTGTTGTTTTGTCACCAAATCATTCTTGTTTTATCACAAATTTATTCTTGTTTTAGCACCAATTTATTGCTGTTTTATCACCAACTTATTCTTTTTTTAATATTTTTTTTAATCACCAACTTATTTTTGTTGTATCACCAACTTATTGTTGTTTTATCACCAAATTATTCTTGATTTATCACAAATTCATTCTTGTTTTTGCACCAACTTTTTCTTTGTTTATGAACAACTTATTTTTGATCTATCACCAACTTATTTCTGTTTTATCACCAACTTATTCTTTGTTTATCACCAATTTATTCTTGTTTCATCACCAACTTATTCTTTGTTTATCACTAACTTATTCTTGATTTTTATCAAAAACTTATTTTTGTTTATCACCAACTTATTCTTGTTTTATCCCCAACTTATTTTTGTTTTATCACCAAATTATTCTTGATTTATCACCAACTTATTTTGTTTATCAGCAACTTATTTTTGTTTTATCACCAACTTATTCTTGTTTTATCACAAACGTATTCTTTGTTTATCACCAACTTATTCTCATTTTATCACCAACTTTCTTGTATTGGCTGGTGCTTCTCATGCAACAAATTGGTCAGATTGTTTTTTATGTTGGAAGCAATGGAAAAATTCTAAGACCCTTATTTCAGTCAGTTAACATGCAGTGCTCAGCCACAGGTGGTGCCACAAGAAAACTCCATTCACAGCAGCCCTTTCTCTGGCGTCTGATACAAACACTTCCAGTATTGAACCCACAACTCTTTAAAATCATAGTTTCTCAAAACCAAGTACAAACCCATGCAGTCTTGATAGTTATTAATATCTTAAAATCACATAAATTAAGAATATATGAAAAAAAAAGCTACTGCCTTTCAAACCCCATAGGTTGATGCTCTGCATAAAAACAATGCATTTGGTCAATTGGATAGACCGTGAATGCCCTGTATGTCAACATTTGATGTATTCTATCATGAGTGGATGATACTACTAACTACAATTGATAGTGTGCCCCGAGCTTTATAAGTAGTATTACAAATGCATATTTTACTGATATGCATTTGTAAAATGCACAAACAAATTTTACATCGTTGACTTTGAAAGCAGTTAAATGAAATACACACATACACAAACAAACACATATAATGTATACATTATGTGTGCGTGTCCTTATGTAAACATGGCTTTAGTAAGTTTTGCATTAATCTGAAAGCCAAAATAAATGTAAACAACACAGATACTTAATCTAAAAGAGTGTGGCCTATGTGTGGGTAGTTGCATTCCTGCAGGAGTCTGTGACCATCCATGCATCTCAAAACAGCTCCAGGCATGCATTATACACAGTAATTACATAATGTCCTTCAAAATGCACAGCAGCATAAACACAACACAGGAGATTCTTAATCATTTCATGCATTTTGTTAATTACAAATCAGGGTAGGAATTTTCTTTGTAGGAAAGCAGTTTTATTTTATTTTTCTGAGAGAGAAAGAGAAAGATGTTTGGCTTGATGATCTAAACAATTCCAGCTCCTCAGCCTCTCCTGATCACCCTGACATCACTGTGCACAGCAACAATGAGCAGCAGACAGGCCTCCTGTGGAGGAGCAGCTCTCCCAGGCCTGTGCTCCAATCTCACATTTAGACAGTGGTTTCAGCCCAATGACTCCAGCTGGTTTTCCGTCATTCCACCCCATGTTTATCCAAGAACATTTCAGGACACGCACTGATTACCTGAGGCAACGTGAAGTCTGGGGTCGCACCGCTGCAGATATCTACAAGGTTTTTGGGTTTTTTGTCGACAAAAGCCATAAAACGAGCAACCACTCCCATCTCATTGTGCTGCATCCCCCCCCCTGCCCGCAGAGCTTACCAAATGATCCCTGATCCGGCAGAGATTTGGCCAGCGCTTCCCAAACCGACAGGAAGAGCAGCAAACAGGAGATGCGGTGGGGTGGCATCTTTACAGCTACATCTCTCTTTCCCACATCGGCGGCCGTGTTTCCATGTTTCACTGCCTGCCTGCCTTTGACTTTGCTGAGATGCTGCCGCCTTTGTGGGCTTCGCCTTGTTTTTATTGTCTGAGCAGAGAGAAATGTTTCCCTCTGCTGGTCAGTGGTGGAATAGCAGCACACATCCAAGACTTGTCTGGAAATGAGTTTCAGGTTCATCTCATTGATTTACAATATAATCAAAATTGTTTATTTATTAGTGCAACGTGCAGCATCTATATCTGCCCAGTTAAATGTCCAAGATGTATGGATAAATGGAAATGTATATACAAAAGAAAAAACATAGGGGTTAGTTTAGGGGTCTTCAACGTTTTCCAGGCAAAGGACCCACAAACTGATGGCGAGATGGAGCGGGGACCCCTAATTTAATATATATTGTATAAAATTGCGTTATATCAAACTGGTCCTATAGTCAATCTATTACAGATGGACTAATGTAACGAAAGTAATTTTTTCCTGGGAATATTAAAGTATTTCTGATTCTGATTCCTGGGTTGATGGGACAGGTGTTGTGAATGAAACGGTGCCCAGCTTGAAAGAGATCCTGTGTGTTGCTGAATGTCTGCATTGATGACTGAAAGACATCTTCTGCCTCCATTTATCTGTTTACTACAGTGTGTTGAGTTCATGTTAATGTGGATTTAAAGACATTTCCGTTAGTGGAAAAAATTGCAGAGGGGAATATAAAAAAAGTCTAATCAACCAAAACTTTCTAGACCCCCATGCAGAACCTCCATTGACCCCCTAGGGGTCGCGGACCCCATGTTGAAGACCTCCGGGCTAGTGAAAAAAAAAAGTTTTAATATAAAACTGTCATCAAGATGAAGACTTGAGACTTGGCAGTTGTCCAGCCTACAGTCACTGACAATCACCACAAGGGGGGGTTGGCCACAAGAAGTGACCAACTGGAAGGTCAAAAAAGCAACAGCCTGCATATTTTAAAACATTTTTTATATGTCTCACTGCCCATATGGGAACTTCATTAGTTTGTTGCACAGTAATACAATTTATCCACCCTGCAACACTTTAATGAACATGTTGCTTTGCAAGCGGATGATATGGATTCAGATGCTGACCTGGGGTCTTTCTGCAGGTTATCCAGGTGCATGCCTAGCTTCTCTCCAGGTACTCTTGGTGCATTTGATTATCCTCTGAACTTGAAACTGGCAAGTTGGAGTGATGTAATCTTGAAAGTAAATGCATCCCACTTTCCTGCTTGTGGATCTTCGTATCATCCATAGCTATTTAAGCCACTGTTACAACTATAAACATCTTGGAGATCAAATGTCAATGATGAGAGCCCCCCTGACATCACATCACTGCGACAGAGATTATTGAAGTAGCCAACCCCCATTTTTCTTCGTTTTTACCTGTGACCCCGGTCAAATAGGCAAGCCTTTTCTAGCTGAAGTCAAATTACGTGGCCACCTTTCCTCTGGAGGTGGCCGCCTTTCTCCTACGGTTCAGAGAGATCTGACTATACCTCCTTTTGCATCGCAATCCCACCTGCTTGAAGGAGATTTGTAATGTAGGACAGACTTTGAGTGACCGCTTGTTGACTGCAATGATTTAAAAAGGCCTGCCTGGTGCATATAAACCATTCTCTGTACATGTTTTGCAGAGTGAAGAAAAGTTGACTGCATGAATGAAACTAGGCCTCCAGCACCTCTCTGACACGGTTTCTGATCATATGAGCAGACAGAGATTTAAAGAAGACTTAAAAACTGGTTGTGAACAACAGATGGTGTCATCCAGGACGTTGTACTGTGAAGATTTTTTCATTGCAGCCAGGATATTGAACTTGGTTTTCGTGTATATTATTTGCCCAAAGATTTTAATGGCGTTCTGTAAGTAACCATTTATATTCCAACCTCTGCTGTTGCCAACATTGCATGTGATATAATCAGTTCTTGTTGGGATCTGGAGATCTGCCACCTTTCTCCAGCAGAGGGCGCCCCTGGGTCTCCTGAGCTGAAGCCACCAGCACACCTGCGGCTGATCATCTCATCAGGAGACCAGCTTTATAAGCAGCGGCTGAACTTCCCTTCAGTGCCAGAGTGTTAGACCAGTTATGGTTAGCAAGCCTGAGCCGAACCTGCATGTCAGAATCTCTGAGTACTCTGAGGAGTAAACTTGATTCTAACCAGTCTTTGTCCTCTCTGCTTCCTAGGAAGACCTGATCGAAGCCTGGAGCTCTGGAGGAGCTCATAGTCAGAAACCTGCCTGCCTGCTCTGTGAAGTCAAACCTGAAGACCCACTGTCTAAATCTGCAAGCCAGTTCTCAGGAGAGAACTTGGAGATCAACTCAAGGTCTGAATCTCACTAGTCTGAAGCCAAGCCCTGCCGCTGCTAAGTCCTCTGCTGAATCCTCAGTCTCTGGACCCTTCTGGTTCCCTCTCTCCAACGCTCAGTCTGAACCACCATCAGGTACAGATCAACTCCAAGCTCTATCAAGACTCTCCTGCTTCTTGGCTAACCAAACTGTCCCTCTCTGCAGAGAGCCTTGTGATACCAGTTCCGGACCCGTTCCAGTATCAGTTCAACATACTTTATTGTGTGATCTCTCAAACAGTTAACTTTTACTCTGTCTCCGTGGTGTTCTGCATTTGGGTTAAGCTCCTTAGACCCAACATGACAGTTCTGTTTTTGCAAAGCTCCAGACGCAACAACAAATTCATTCGTGGCAATAACTGGTGAATTTTATCCGGCCTCACTCTGCTATGCTGCCAGTGTTTTAACAGCTTGTCACCTGTTGTACCAAAGAAAAAGAAACTTAGGACTTGTTTTATGCAAATGTCAAGAACCCCTACATCTCTGAAGTAAGACCTCCTCATGGGAAATCCGATCGCAATCTTGTTTTTCTCTGCTCAGAGTATATGCCACTTTATGAGACAACCTGCATTAAAAAGAACTGTAAGAAGATGGACATAGGAGGGTGAATAAATCCTGCAAGGTTATTTTGAGGCTACAGGCTGGGATGCACTGTGTCAGCCACAGGTAGAGGACATGGAAGCAATGACTGGGAGTGTGTCTGACTACATAAACTTCTGCATAGATAATACCATCCCTACCAGAACAGTGAAATGCTTACCAAATAATAAACCATGTGACTTGACGTAGCTGCTCAACAAGAAAAAACAAACCTTGAGAAAAGAAGGCAGGGAATTAATGAGGAGTATACAAAAGCTATTTGAGGTGAATTTCAGAGAAAGCAAAGATGCATACAGGAAGAGGCCAGTCGCTTAGACGCCCTAGCTGTCCATTGCCAATCCGTTGTTTTTAAATAAATGCTTTTTGAGTAATCTTACTGTCCTTGTTGCCTTTAATACTGGGTCCTCAGTTCTGAGCCTTGACACTGACTGGGTTATTGACACAAAAATGAGTCAATATATCTAAAGCGAAGGTAAAAATAAAAATTTATAAATACAAATAGTGAGGTTCTGTTGATCTTTATGCTCACTGTATGTACACAGCTAAACACAACTATGATGTCTGTAGCAACACTTCAGATTTTAATATCAAATGCACTTCTTCACAATGTGTCTAATCGGTGTAATCTAATCACTTCATTTTCGGGGAAAAGAAATTGAACAACATGTTAAATCCAGTAGACAGCAGCCTAAGCTCGCACTCCTGATTTGTTTTGAAGCACACCTGATACAAAATGTACACCGCAAAGACGGCTACTTGCAGTTTCCTTGATTTCTTCAGTGCATTTAACACAAATCAGCCTGGCCTACTTTGTGAGAAACTCCAGAACACTCAGGCGGAGGCATCAACATTTGCCTGGATCAAATACTACTTGACAAACAGACCACAGTTTGTCAGACTGAAGGGTCAGCTGTTCAATCAAGAAGTGAGCAGCCAAGAAGCACAACAGCTCTCTCATTCATTTTCACTGTACACCTCTGACTTCCAGTACTAAACAGGGTCGTATCATCTGCATAAATACCCGGATGACCGGATTTTTCTGTTTTATATGTGTTATTATTTGGCTGGACTGCACATTGGCACAGTGGGTAGCACTGCTGCTACCCACTGAAGGTTCTGGGTTTGATTCCCGTTTTGGGGACTTCTGCATGAAGTTTGCATTTTCTACCCGTAAAAGCATGGGTTCCCTCCGGGTCGGTTCTTCCCACAGACCAAAAAGTAGAAGTAGAGGTTTGTTTATCATGAGCCACTACTGGAAAGCATTTGCAATATTTTATGTTGTTATCAAGGGGATCATTATATTTGTGAGCATTAATAGATTTAAAGATGATGATACCTTTAAATAAATTACACGTAAGGGGTATGATGGATGTGCATCATAGAAAATCTGTCATTGCCACAATGCAAACAGTGAAAGGTGAAGTGATACCTGCTGTTGCCGACAGATCTGACCAAAAAAAAAAAAAAAGATGTTTTGTTTGTTCAGAATCCAACTCTTCATTCCTCATGTTCCCAATAAAGATATTTTTGTTTTCAGTTTTTTTTTAAAGTGTTGTGAAGAGGGAAAACCATTGATTTACCAGTCGGTGTACCTTCCCAGACCGATGAATAAAACCTTGGTCTTTACTCAAAGGAGGCGATTCTTATTGAAACCCAGATAAGATGACAAGTATAAGTTGGATTTAAGTTTTTTTGTTTTGTTTTTTTTTTTCATGTAAGTTGGAGGCAATAACTCGAAATGTCGAAATGAATATGCAGCAGATTAAAAAACAAGTATCATGAGTTTTCTGGAAAACTAGCACTGAATAGCTGGAACTGAGTGTTTTAAATGCTATGCTCTGAAAAATTATGCAAATAAAAGTGGAACTTTTTAAAGAAAACAGTTTAACTTATCACCTTTTGATTGATTCAATTTGAAGGATTGTTTGTCAAATTTATGACCAAAGACAATTAAATAGGAAATCACTGTGAATAGCAGACTGATCCGGTTTTGCATCATTTCAGTTTAGGATTAAAGGCGCTGCAACCTCCTTCTGGTATTCACATTACAGAGGTTATAAGGTATTTTATTCTTCTGGTCTAACACATGTTGTTTTATGCCTCTTTTAGCCCTTCGGCTTAAGCTGCTGGTTGCCTCATTTATCACTTC